ACCTGAATATTAAGATGAAAGCAATTTTCCATTAACTGCCAGTGGCCTCATTTGTTACACTCAGCCATAGAGGGCCTCGAACCTCTGACTAGTCTTACGCGGTCTGCAACATGTATAGTCACCATCTATGTTTTTGAAGCATCTTGATCGTATGTTTGACCAATTTCAGACTGCATAAGTTGGTAAAAGTGATCAATTTCTTCATCTTTGCCATTAGTGGTTGGTGCATAAATTTGAATGATCTCCCCTAGAGGTGTACAGATGTTATCCTGTCACTGATGGTGATTCAAGAATCAATCTTGAAGTATTTTTTAATGATGTGATGCTGTTCCTCTTCAATATGTCATTCCCAGCATAGTAAAACATATGGTTATCTGATTAAAAATGGCCAATAATAGTCTTCAACTCACTGACGCCTAGGATATTGATCTGTATACATTCCATTTTTTGACAACTTCCAATTTTCCTGAATTTATACTTCACGTATTCCATGCGCTCATGATGAATGGATGCTTGCAGCTGTTCCTTCTCATTTCAAATCCTGCCCTAGCAGCACATGAAGATCTTGGAAGCTTTAAGGTTGACTCTGAGGAGGCAGCTCTCCTTCCAACCTGAGAGCTATGTTAGACAGTGTTTCCCTGCTATTCATAAGGTTCTCAGTGGCTAACTTTTCAGAAGTGGTCAGCCTCGCTTTCTTCCTAGTCTGTCTTAGTCTGGAAGCTCAGCTGAAATCTCTCCATCATGGGTGACCCTGCTGGTATTTAAAATACCGGCAACATAGCTTCCAGAATCACACGGGGTTGCTAGGAGTCAGAATCTACTAGACAGCCACTACCAACCGTCTGTTTGGGTGACACTTCATTTTGGGTCCCTTTGTTAATCGGACTCTCCACCCTGACTGGGAAGTGGTACCCTGGCTCATTTATCACATTGATTAGTAGAAGTTGGAAGTCTGACTTGGGGGAGTGAGTTGGAGCCAGTCCTGGAATTGAGACTGCCTGCCTTGATATAGGCGTTCCTCCCTCGATGATGCTTCAGATGACCGCAGCGTGGAGCAAGTCTGTGTGTGGTTTTCCCAACAGCACACACTCACTTCATCCCTCCCACAACATTGCATCCTTGTTCAGCAGCCTCTTGGACACTTCACAGACTACAGTCTAGAGTAAAACATAACTTCCTTATGCTTTGGGAAACCAAACAATTCGTGTGACTCTCCTTATTGCAAATTCACTTTGATACGGTGCTCTGGACTCCAACCTGAGGCATCTCGGAGGAGCAGCTGCACAGGGTGTAGCTGTTTTAGGAGTCTTGGTGTGATGCTGTAGGATAAGCACTAGACTTCAAGGTCAGCGGGTCAAACGTACCAGCTGCTCCTCAGAAATCCTATACAGAGTTGCGGTAAGTCAGAATCGACTCGATGGCATTTAACAACATACCTGTCCTTATAGTGTCACTTGATGGAGGCCCCCCTACCCCTTCCAGCCAACCTTGGTGACCCACAGGTTACAACTTAGAAAACCTAGTCTGGCTCCACAGACAGTGATGGTTCCTGGTTCCCTTTCCCCAGGCCCGCACAGAATTCCTACGCAAGAAAGCCAGGCACCAGAACTCGGGACCACCGGAGCTGGAAGCCTTGGGGTCGGGAGCCTTAGGTCCTGGCCCCGTGGATCTGTTTCAGGAGCTGCTGGAAGAAGGGAAAGGGGTGGCCCGTGGCAATCAAGAGTACGAGGAGGAAAAGCGGCAGGAGAAGGTAAGCTGGCCTCGCCCACAGGGCTGGGGCACTTAGGTGGGACTCACAGGACAGTCTGGATACACTGGGCATTAAATGAGCATGCAGATACCCAGCATGTGAACCAGTATCGAAACAGCCCCAGGACCCCTCTGAGGGAGCCACAATAGGTTGGTGGTTCGAACCTTCCCAGAGGCCTCAGGAGACAGGCATGACAAATGACTCTATGAGGTCGTTGTAGGCCACAGGCACGGGGATGTTTTTGTTCTTTCGTCACAAGCTCATCCTTCCTCACCTTCTCAGGGACAGTCCTATGGGATTTCGGTCTCAAGCTTGTCTCTCCTGTTGACATTCCACAAGTGTCTGATTCCTTTTCTCTACAACAACCTCCCCCCTCAACATCCCGAAGGAGAGACGGCCAGCTTCCAGGTTCAATCCACAGGGTTTCCGAACGTTGGCCCCAGTCTTAGGGCCATGCTTACAACAGGCTGGGCAGATGGTTAAGCACTTGATCGGTGCCTGGGAAGACTGCCGCCTTGACAACCGGAGGAAGCAGTTCTGCTCTGCACACGGGGGCTCCACCCTCTAGGCAGGGTACTTCCCTCCCAGTAACATGGGGAGGGGATGAGCCACAATGCACAGCACAGTCCCACACACCTGACAGCTCTCCGCACTGTGGGCCCAGTGCCCACAGCATTAACCACATTGCCTGGTGTAGCCGCCAGCTCATCGGTGGACTCCACCTTCCAAATGCTGCTACATCTGGGGTCCTGCCGGCCCCCGCTGTCTTGCCCGACTTTTACAAGCTGCTGTCTGGTCTCTTGGTGCCTGTGTCTGCCCACCCCAGCTGAGACTTCCATAAAAAGTGAAAGAGATTTGATCACCCCCGGAGCCCACACAGTCACTGCTCTGCCTCCCTGCAGCTGCGCCCTTCCCTCGAACTCCCCCCAGATCTCTGCTACATGCAGGGGTGGATTACCCAACAAGCAAGGCAAGCACAGGCTTACTTGTGCCTGCTTGCCTGTAATGAGTTGTTTCACATGACTGATGTGATGGAGCTGTGTGGAGCAGTTCCCCCAAACACGACTGCATTCCAACAGACCCTGGCTCGTGAGACCCTCAGGCCATGTTTGTGGAGTGACCTCCTAGCACCTCCTACAGGCAGGCCTGCCTGGCCACCCCGCTCCCATGACACCCTCATCTCCCAGTTTCTCTGACCTCCCAGCCCCCATGATGACCCTCATCTTGCGGTTTCTTTGAACTCCCAGCCCCCACAACCCCCATCTCCCAGTTTCTCTGACCTCCCAGCCCCCATGACGACCCTCATCTTGTGGTTTCTTTGAACTCCCAGCCCCCACAACCCCCATCTCCAAGTTTCTCTGACCTCCCAACCCCCTTAACGGCCCCCCACCCCCATGATGACCCCCATCTCCCAGTTTCTCTGACCTCCCAGCTCCCGTGATGACCCCCATATCTCCCAGTTTCTCTGACCTCCCAGCCCCCACAACGACCCTTATCTCCCGGTTTCTCTGGCCCCCCAGCCCCGGTAACGACCCCCATCTCCCGGTTTCTCTGGCCCCCCAGCCCCGGTAACGACCCCCATGTCCCAGTTTCTCTGGCCCTCCAGCCCTGGTAACGACCCCCATCTCCTGGTTTCTCTGGCCCCCCAGCCCCAGTAACGACCCCCATCTCCTGGTTTCTCTGGCCCCCCAGCCCCGGTAACGACCCCCATCTCCCGGTTTCTCTGGCCCCCCAGCCCCAGTAACGACCCCCATCTCCTGGTTTCTCTGGCCCCTGCAGGAGAAGCAGGAGAAAGCACTGGGCATCCTGACGTACCTGGGCCAGAGCGCAGCTGAGGCGCAGACACAGCCCCCATGGTACCAGCTGCCCCCGGGCCGAGGGGCACCCCTGCCTGGCCCAGGCCCCAATGAGAAGGATGAGATGGACAAGAAGGTCAAGGGTCGCCTGGACCCACTGCGGGAAATGCAGAGGCACCTGGGGAAGAGGCAGCACAGTGGCGAGGAGGGGCCCAGCAGAAAGAGAAAGGAGGGAGCTGCAAACCTGCGGCCCACAGGGTGAGCAGGAGGGCAGGGGCTCCTGACTGGGTCTGTGGGGTCAAACCTTTTTTCCTGATGGCACAGATTGTCTGGCCCACAGTTCGTGTGCATGGAAGGGTAGAGGCTTCTAGAAAGGAACCATTGCTCAGGTGACTGAGGGGATGTAGACTAAATACGAGCTGACAGATGGTAGCTCCACAAGCTCGAGCTCTTGGCCCTTAGCGGACCTTCATTCTCAGTCGTGCAGTGGGGCAGAACGCACCGACTAGAGGCCAGGGAGCTGTCGGGCGCCAGACAGCTAAGGAGCGAGGGGGGAGGCGGGGGGGTGTATTGTGAAAGAGTCCAGGTGGTGCAGTGGTTTAAGTGCTTGGCTGAGCATCAGAAAGTCAGACATGAGCACCCACCAGCCACTCCCTGGGGAGAAAGTCAGACATGAAAACCCACCAGCCACTCCCTGGGGGAGAAAGTCAGACATGAGACCCCAATAGCCACTCCCTGGGGAGAAAGATGGGACAGTTCTACTTCCATAAACATGGCCGGCCTCAGAAACCCTCCAGGGCAGGTCTCTTCTGTCCTAGAGGGTCACTATGACTGGGAAGTGACCGGAAGGTGGGGGAGGCTAGAGACAAAGCAGGGAAGGCGAAGCCCCGTGTGCAAGAGGGAGGGCTCAGGAGCTGAGACTGGGGCGCGTTAGAAGTAAACAGGATTCTGGGTGACCGACCGTCGCCCATTGCCTGAAAAGAGGAGGGAGGGCTGGGCTCCAGCAATTCCCCAGCCTGCTGACCCAACTCCTCTCCTCAGACCCCCTACTCTGGATCAGCTTCGAGCAGAACGCCTCAAGCGGGAAGCAGCGGAGAGGGCCCGGGCAGAGGCCTTGCTGGCCCGGGTCCGAGGTGAGGCCCCCCAGGAGGACCTCCTGGAGGAGACAGATGAGAGGCGGCGGAGCTACAACTCCCAGTTCCACCCCCAGCTGGCCAGGCGTCCCCGCCGCTCCAACACCCAGGCCTCCCATTGACCCAGCCCGGATGAGACCCCTGCGACCCAGCCCCCCAGCAATGTAGCCGTGAGGAGGCCTTTCCCCAGCCCCCCACTGCCTGGACACTCAGCCCTCCCACTGACCTGGTCTCCGACCCTCTCTGTTCTTGAGGGTACAGGAGTAGCCTCTGCTGCCAGCATCATATAAAACTATTTATTCATAAATATTTTCCAAAATGAAAATAGGTTTACCAAAAAATGTCCCTCACTGGGGAGGGGAGGAGGGGGCAACCCTCGCCCCCAGGATGGAGCTGAGAGGAAGAAACGACCTCCTGCCCCCTCCCTGCTTCCTGGGGGAGGGGGCTACCCCCAGTCTTTCAGGGCAGGGGGTCAGCATGCGGGGCAGGGGTGGGTGGAGGGAGGTGGGGGCCGGCGTCACTGGAGGTCCCGGTCCTCCAGGTAACGGTACTCGAATGTGAAGCCTTCTTTCTTCCGCTGACCCCACTTCTCGTAGTCAAAGTAGATGTAGGTGCCCTGGAGGGAAGGCACTTGGTAAGGGCTGGCCAGAAGGGCCTGCTCTAGAGGGGACCCCAGGTGCACGGAGCAGCAGGGACCTGTGTCCTGTCCTCTAAGAGGAGCACCCCCTCTGGGGACCTGCTGTTGACAGAGAGAGCTGGGGGTGTGTGAATGGACCAAGTTTGGATAGGGTGGTCTGTTGACACGGGAAGAACAGATCAATGCCCCAAATGCCTCCAAAAATGGCTCCGTAAGGAACCGAAAGGGGCTCTGGTAGTAAGTGGGTTCAGTATTGGGCAGCCAACTGCCAGTCGGGGGTTGGGGAGCACTGGGGCTCTCTACCTCCCTAATGATGACAGCCCAGGGGACCCTAAGGGGCTGCTGCTGTGAGTCGGAGTGGACTCGCTGCCAATGCTCGGACAGACAGGCGGAAGAAGGATATGGCAAGGAGACACACTGCTTCTGTAAAGGTTGGCGGTGGTTATTAAGAACTAGTAAGTCGATTCCAACTCAGTGACCCTGTACAGCATGGGTGGCGGGCTGTATAAAACCCCCAAAATCATTTGGTTTGGCCCTGCCCAGGCACCCGCAGTTCCAGCCATCACATTTGGGGTCAGAGTCCTGGTGTGGTGCTGTGGGCTAAAGCACTGCACTGCAAGGTCGGTTTGTACCACATGGTTGGCAGTTCAAACGCACCATCTGCTCCTCAGAAACCCCGTACAGGGTTGCTATGAGTTGGAATCAACTCCATGGCGCTTACCAACAAACCACCCCTGCTGTGTAGGGTTTCTGAAGAGTGACCGAGCTTTTGGTTGACAATCCAGGGCTTACCCTATAGCCCCACACCAATAGAGCCTGGGGGACCCCAGGGGCAGTTCTACTCCACCCACTGTGAGTCACAGTCACCTCCAGAGCTTGGTTCTCGGTTGGAAGGGAGCAGGGAGGATGGCAACTCCAGGACAAGGACCACCTCTCACCCCACGTTCTTCCAAGGGGGCCTGATGCCCAGTAAATACTGGTGGAACCCACTGACTGGAAGTAGAAAACAGACAAAATGTGTCTGTCCATGACTGCTAGTCCGTGGCAGGGGCCACTGAGCCTGTCAGGGTATCAGCTAGCTGCATGAAGTGGGGCCACTTGCCCCCATTTTTACCAAGGAAAGCAGGACAGCAGCCCACTGAGAGGGGGAGACTCCCATCCAGGATTACAGGCATGGGGGGACATGTGGGGACATGGCTGGTGTCTCAGGAAGTTGCCTCAGGCCAAGACCTATGGGTGGGATGGTGCTGAGCTGGGTGACACCAAGTGTCCCAGGCAGCAAGGGGAGTGGGGACAGCGCCTCACCTGCTCGAACTCATCGGTGATGGTCTTGGGCTCCTCATGCCGCTGGAACCACATCATGTACTTGGTGTGGAATCTCCAGGATTGCTTCTTCAGGGCCTTGGCTGCTAGATACTGTGCCTTGGTGCCCTGGGGAGTGAGGGGGACAGGGGTACGGGTGTCAGGGCTGGAGCTGGGCCACCCCCTGGACAGCACTGCTGACTGGGAGGAGGAGGAGAACGGAGGTGGAGGCTGCTTTCAGAGAAGGATGAGAAACTAAGGTGATGAGAGCCGAGCTAGGCGGCCACTGAGGGCAGTTCCCGGGTCAGCTGAGGGGGGAGGTCACACACCTCACTCACTGGGGTCCCTAAGGAGGGCGGCCTGAGTGCCTGCTAGTGAGTACAGCCAAGGTACACCTGGACTACACCAAGGTACACCTGGACTACAAGGAACTGCTTGAGGGCGCTGAGGGGACCCCAACTCCATGAGCAGAGCCATGCTGCTGGTCTAGCTGGGAGGAGGGACAGAGATGGCTTTGAGGAAGGAGGCCTGAGACTGGGGGATGGGAAGGGAGTGCGGTCCCGGTGGCCGCAGAGGTGCACCCACCTCACCCCTCCAGCCCGAGGGGGGACAGCGGCGGTGGTGGCGAAGCCGGGGGGCCCCGAGGCTGCCCCGGGGGCCCTGCTGTACCTCCAGATAGTAGAAGATGAAGAAGAGCGTCTCCGTCGACAAGCGCTGGTAGAACTCCACAGTGTCCGAGTGCGGAGGTGGCATCTGGTGGTGGTAGGGGGGTGTCGGACAGGGATTCCGGGGGAGGTACTGCCTGCGGGGCCACAGAGGATGTCAGTGCCAGCCTTGGGTTCACATCCAGTGGCTCCTGACAGAAGCCCCAAGATCCAGGGTTCTGCAACCCCACCACATAATTCAAAGGGGGCCTCGGGGTGCCCTTGTCATCCACCTTTTCTGGAAACCTTGCGCCAGGCGCCCGGCCTCCTGGGTCCCTCCTCGGATGGGACCAGCAGCCCCAGCCCCTTGTAGCCCCTCACCGGATGCGTTCCGAGTCCGAGGGATGAGGCATGTGGTGCCAGGCGGCCTCCTCCATGGCCTGCTGGTACAGCTGCTCCTTGGTGAGGGGCACAGGCCCCAGTGGGCATACGCCCAGGGACAGTGGGATGTTCACCTCCGACAGCTGCAGAGGGGGCTGGCTGGAGACTGGGGGTGCGGATGAGCTGCTCAGGATGATGTCTGAAGAGGGAGGAGGGGAGGTGAGGCCAGCCCAGGGCCCACCCCTTTGCTGCGGTCGGCCCCCATGCTACCACCCCGAGCCCCAGGCCCTGACCTCGCTCCGTCAGGTGCAGTGTTGGCACAGGGTCCTCGATGCCGGAGCTGATGGCTGCCCGCTCCGCCATGGACTTGAGAGAGCTCAGAGGCTCGGGTGCCTGTGGGAAGTGCAGTGCCAAGATGGAGGGGGCTGAGCAGGACTGCAGGGCGTCACCCATCCAGGGAACCGGAGTACTCGCAGCAGCCCAAAGAAAGCAGGCGCCACCGAGTATGGACTCGGGCAGGGAGGTGCCGGCCATCCAGCACGCTCTCTGGGGAAAGTATCCCCAGGTGGCTACACCAGCGGCACACCCTTCAGCCTGCTCCCCATCCCCATCTATTACCTGTCTGTCTCTCCAGCAGCCCATCTATCCCCTCCTTGGCACCTGGCCCTTCTCCCACCCTCCACTGCCTTACAGGCCCAAGGGCAGCCTGGGCACGAACTGACCACAGTAGCCCAGGTCTCCCAGTGAGAACCAGGCCCAGGCCCAGAAAAGGACGTGGCACCACAATGCCACTATTCACTGCGCTCGCCCCACAGGCTGTGAGGGGGCCCCCAACTCAACTCAGGACCCCGATGCCCAGCTGCCCTTTTGGCACATCCACCAGCACCATATGGCCTGCTAGTGCTCTCTCCTGCAGGGCAGACACCTGTGCCCCCTCTACTGAGCCCACCTGGATGCCAGCCCCATGCTCAAGCCCCACAGGCTTTCCTGATCCTATCCCCCAGTCTGGTCATGGTCTATGTCCCCGACTCAAGGTGAGCTTCCTGCACAAAGGAGGAACCAGAGATGTCCACAAGTCTCGTCACTGGGGGCGGGGGGGCGTGTCAGGTGAGAGGACAACCTCATTCTTTATAAGGAAAAATAGGGACGGAGACTAAGGACTGGGATTAGGAGAGAGATAAGGACAGAGAAGGAGGGAGATGGGGTGGGGATATGGGATGCAGGTAGAGCACACTCGGGCCCAGTGGGAGCCCATGGGAGCTCACCTTGATCTCCGGGGTGCTGCTGAACTGTGGGGGCCCGTTGAGCAGGGCCCCCGTGGCCTTGGCTTCACTGAAGCTGGGTGTTGGGGAACTTGGGGGGTTCACAGGCAATGGTACCAGGAGGCTGGGGCCCCCGGCATTGTTCCCTGAGCCTGGGGCCACACCCCCAGCCCCTGCTGGAGCTGCCGCACTGGGGTCCTTTCTGAGTAGAGAAGAAATGGGGGTCCCTCAGCAGAGAACCTGAGTGGGTGTCAGGAGATGGGAGGTGGTGGGGAGTGGAGTATGGCTCGCCTGGTGTCCCAGGAGGCCGAACAGAGCCCAGTCCTGGGAGTTGTGGCCTGTTGGTGCCATGAGGTGGGGGTGGGCCTGCCTGATGGGTACCGATGCTTTGGACTGCTGGGGGGAGTGGGGTTCAATGGGGGGAGGGCAAGAAACAGGACGCAGACATTTCCAGCACAAAAGAGCAACCATGGTAGAGGGGACAGGGACCCATGGTGGCTGTGGGGAGAGAGGACAATCTCTGGGGGACACTCCCCGGCAGGAGAGGATAATGTTCTAGAGCAGAGCTGGGCTGAGCCGTGTGAAGTGGTGACGGGGTGGGGCTGGGGGGCCTTACTCACGAGGTGCTGGGAGGTGGGTTGTGGGGGCCAGACGGGGCGCCCAGAGCCTGGCTGTTGGTGCTGCTGCCCCCACTGCTGCTCAGAGCAGCCTCGGCAGGGCTGTCGGCCACCACGGAGCTGTAACCTGGATTCCCGGAGGGCGAGAAGGGGCTGTGAGCAGCTGGCCCAGCCGCCCCACCAGCCCCGCGCTCCTGAGAGCCCCGGGCCCACTCACTGGTGGCGCCGTTCTGCTTGCCAGCACCTCCGCCTCCGCTGCTGCTGTTGTTGCCGCCGCCGCTGCCCCCTCCTCCGCCGCTGCTCCCGCCAGGCTGGACGCTGGGGGGCCGGGGCTGGGCCGAGCTGGGCCCACTGGGGGCTGGCGGGGCCACGGCCTGGGCATAGGGGGCAGGGGTGCCCGAGTTGTGGCTGGGAGCAGGACTGGCCTTGGGACCCAGGGCACTCGGGGGTGCTGCTGGGGCGGAGCCCCCGTTGTTGCCAGGAGCGGAGTTCAGGGTGGAGGTGGCAGGCGGGGGGCCGGAGGAGTAGCTGGGTGGCACAGCCGGGGACTGAGAATGCTGGGTGCTGTGGATGGGCTTGGAGCCGTTTTTGGCTGGAGACTGCGGTGGGAGAGAAGAAAGTCAGGAAGCCTGCACACCAGCCCCCAGCTGGCTTAAGCCCCGTGTCCACCTTTGGCTGCTCCCAGAGGCTGCCACTGCTACCCCTGTGGCGCCTGGTCCACGGCATCCCAGACACAGGGCATACCCAACAGAGAGCCACCGGGAAGAGCGGGGAACACCTAAACATCCACAGACAAGGGTACAACTGCAGAGACACGACTGTTCTACTACACTTGACCTCAACTGGGACAAGCCATACACATGCCAGGGACACAAGGGAAAACACGCAATAGACGGGAAACCCCAAATTAACAAAATGTCCCACAAAGCAGAGACGGGACGCAGACCCCTGCTAGGCCTCAGGGTCCTGGACCAACAGGGCTCCGGGAGGCCTTGGTCCTCAGCCCCACCCCACCCCGTCTGCCCTTCGCAGTCCCTAGAAACCAAGCTTGCCAGGTGTCCCTAACAGGGTGCCTCTCAGACACCTCTGGTCCTGTCACTCTGTCTACAGGGGCCATCACAATGATGAGGGTCTTGGGGGAGCTCAGCCTTAGAGGAGCTACCCTTCCCAGCTCTTCCCTCTAAAGCCCAGGACATGGCCTGCTTCTGCGTGCCATTTCCCGATCACCACCTCGGCCAGGTGACACGTCCAGGCCCCCACGCACCTGGCTGACCTCGCTATCCGTCGACCGGCCCCTCTTCTTGTCATCCTCGGAGTTTTCCTGAGAGGCAAACAGTCAGATGCCTGTGTGAGCTGAGGGAGCCACACATGGACATCTGTCCGCGCCGCCCAGAACCCGGACCGCTGCTGGGCCCACTGCAGACCAGAACTGGACCTCCTGTGAGAACGGTCACTCCCAGCACCCAGCGCCCAGTCTAAGGACTGGGAACTGCCCTCCTGATGGGAGTCAGCACAAGCTCTGCCCTGAGATGCCCAGGTAGGGACCCCTCCCACAGCACACATCACGGACCCACGGATGGGCTGCTAAGGTCCATCCCAGTCTCCTCCAAGATGCCCCAGAGCCCACTCAGGAGACCCCATTCCCGCAGGCAGCAGGCTCACCGTGGTGCAGTTGGCCGGGCTGGGGGGGATGGGCGAGCTAGAGGTGGTCGAGGTAGGTGTGCTGCTCGACTGGTTGAAGACCTCATCCTCCATGTGGCTGTGGCTGGGGGGCGACGTGGCGACCAGCGCCTGTGCTGTGGGCAGCGGAGCAATGGGCTCAGCGGGCGCCCTCACTACGGCACCCAGCACCCCTGTGCCCACAGGCTCCCCGGGGCCTCACGAATGTCCTCGAGGTCCAGGTCATCGTAGAGGAACTCGTTTTCCTCGAAGTCGGGGTACTGGGAGGAGTCGACGTAGTACTCCACATCGTCCTTGATCTTGCGGATGGCGTCCACCATGATGGAGTCGTTGTCCAGCATCCGCAGGATGGTCTCCAGCATGCGCACGTGGTAGCGGTGCTTCTCGATGTGCCGCTTCAGGCCCTCGATCCGGTCCTGCTTCTGCTGGCGAGCCCAGGGCCAGGCTCAGGGGCGGTACGGTGCTATCCCAGCCCCTCCTGCCCCACAGAACCTGTCCTCAGTCCCCAAGCCCCAGGCCTAGTGCCCCCTACCCCTAAGAACCCGTCCTCGGTCCCCAAGCCCCACACCTAGTGCCCCCTGCCCCTCAGAACCCATCCTCGGTCCCCAAGCCCCAGACCTAGCGCCCCCTACCCCACAGAACCTGTCCTCAGCCCCAGACCTAGCACCTCCTGCCCCACAGAAGCTGTCCTCAGCCCCACACCTAGCACCTCCTGCCCCACAGAAGCTGTCCTCAGCCCCACACCTAGCACCTCCTGCCCCACAGAAGCTGTCCTCAGCCCCAGACCCAGCACCTCCTGCCCCACAGAACCTGTCCTCGGTCCCAGACCTAGCGCCCCCTGCCCCTCAGAACCCATCCTCGGTCCCCAAGCCCCAGACCTAGTGCCCCCTGCCCCTCAGAACCTGTCCTTGGTCCCCGAGCCCCACATCTAGCGCCCTCTGCCCCTCAGAACCCATCCTCAGTCCCCAAGCCCCAGACCTAGCACCCCCTCCTGGCTCAGGGTTGCATGGAGGCTGCCTGCCCGCCCCTGGGGGGAACCACCCCAGGCCTGGGTACCCCAAAGCCCCTACCCTGGGGCTCTCATGGCTCACGAAACCTCAGAATCGACTTGGGACCCTGGAACTCTCTGTAAGACCCAGAAATCCTGGCAGCAGCCCACAGTATCCCCGTTGTTCTGTCGTGTGGAAGGTCTCCAACGCCCCTCCCAGCTCTGACCCCTCAGGGACAGAGCTGCAGCCCTGTCCCACCTCCACTTCCTGTCCCTCCCAGCCCTTCCACAGCGAGACCCCAGCTCCTACGCTCTCAAGGGCCCTGACTACCTCCTACCTGGACCCTACTGCACAATTTCCTTTAGTTTAACACCTTAGTTCTAATCCCAAATCCCTTCTCAAAGGAGTCCTGGTGGCACACTGGTTCAGCATGCAGCCGTAACCAAAAGGTCAGCAGTTTGACCCCCCAGCTGCTCCTCGTCTGTTTTGATAAAGACCGAGTCTCGGAAAGCCCGCGTGGCAGCTCTACTCTGTCCCCTCGGGTTGTTAGAACTTGGATTCACTCAACGGCGGTGGAGTTTTTTTTCGGGTTCTCTCTTCAAGGAGAGCCCGGAAAGCCAATCCCCTCCCTTAGTGTCTCAGATGCTCAGCTGTGGGAGTCCACCCCCAGTCACTCCCCACTTTCCCTGGGGGCCAGCTCTCTGCTTCCTCTACCAAAAAGTGGGGATCCCTCCGAGCCTGAGCGCTGTTCTCCACTGTGACTCACACACGTACCCCTGATGTGCTCGCCTCAGCCTGCCCCAGCCCTGCCACTGCAGACCCCACTTCCACAGCCTCCCCTGGCGTGCCGGGGCTCCCCCCACTCACATCCTTGTCACCCTTCTTCTTGCGTGTCTGCACCGACAGTGACTCCACCTCACTCTCAAACTGGTCCACCTGCATGTTCAGGGTGTCGATGGTGTTCTGGGGGGCAGGGGGTCTGAGTCAGCCTGGCGGGGAGGTCCAAGGCCCTGTGCTCACCTCACCTCCTGCTTCCCGTCCCAGCTCACCGTGAGCCACTGGCCGACCTCCTCTTTCTCCTTCTGGGCAGGGTCCACCTTCTGGGCCAGGCCCAGGCCTTCCTTGCTGTAGGCTTTGGTTTTGGTCTCTCGTTCCACCACCTTGAACCGTTCCATTTGCTGTGGGGGGTAAGGGGGAGCGAGAGGCGCTGACTAGGGGGCGGCAGAGGTAGCCCCACCTTCCCTCAGGCACTGACGTTCCTCCTGCTCCCAGGACCTCCGGGGTCTGGCTGCCCCGGATCCGCCTCTCAGAGACCCAGGAATCGAGCCCCCACCCACCACCACCACCTCCATCCCAGGTCAGACCATCCAGGCGCCTACCGTTTCAATGAGCTTGCGGTTATCTATGAGCTGCCTCTTGTCTTTAATCTCGTTGGACGCTACCCATGTCTTGATCTGGTCCCTCAGCCGCTGTGGAGGAGAATGGGAACATCAGATGGCCCCAAGCCCCAGGGACCCAGGCCCCAGATCCCGCCTCTCTCCAAGGACCCCATCGTCCACTCCACCTGTTCCCTCCGCCCTCAGGACACAGGCGTCCGGCCCACCCAGCCCCCCTCACTTGTAGCTTCTTAATCTCCTTCTTTAGGTCGGCCTCATACTTTTCTTTCTGGTTCGCGTTGGCCGCATTGTGGAGCTGAGGAGTGGAGAGAAGGCAGGAGTCAGTGTGGTGGCTGCATCAGCGAGGGGACCCAGCCCTCCTGAGCCACCCGGGAGAGCTCCTCCTTGATCCTCAGCATCTAGATATGCACCCCACACCCAGGGCCCCTGAGCCTCAGCCTCTGTACCTTCTGCCAAATGTCCTCAAACTGCTCCACGCCCTCGGACACCTTCTTGAGGCAGCGGTCAATCTCACCTGGCCGGGGACAAGGAGGGCTGTCAGCCAGGCAGCGGGCAGCTAGTGGGGTCAGAGGAGAAGGCCTGCAGGTCACATGGGCCAGTACCTTGGAGTTTGCGCTTGTCCGCCATCTTCCTGCCCTACAGGCGCGCTCTCTTCATACTCCCCTGGAGACCGACGCTGCTGGGGGGTGGGAGACAAACAGTTATTCCCTGGCTAGGTCCACCCCAGAGATGACGGGAACATGGCTGGGACCGCAGGCTGGAGGGATGGGAAGGGAGGTGGGATCTCCTTTCTGATTTGAGACCAGGCCCAGCTGAGCAGCCAAGGCTCGGGTCTGCAAGAGGGATGGGGAAGCCTTTTGTTAAGCCTCTGACCCAGGAAGTGGCACCTTTTCCCCAGATGTGACACTCAGAAGGCTGTTTCAGAGTGGGGGATAGTCATATAGCATCCTGCTCACGCTCCCTGCCCGCTCCTGGAAGGGACCAGGAGTCCTAAGACAGGGACAGCTCTGAGACGCCGTGTAGAAGGGCCAAAGGAGGTGCCTCCAAATCTGCGGCGCTGACACCACAAAGACCCACAGACAAGCAGAAAGCTAACCAGGGCCACAGCGCTCCAGAGGCCGTGCCAGAGCAGGACCCCTAAACCAGGGGGTGGCAATGGGTTGCACCCAAGAGGTCGACAACCAAAGAGCTGGTGAGCGAGTCAGGGGCGGCTGGACCCAGGGAAGGCTAGGAAGAAGACCCACCGCTTACAGAGCCAAGCGGTCAGAAGGTGGCTGGGAGAGAGTGATCTGTCCACATGAAGGATTTCCATCTCAAATGGATGGTAACTTTTAGACTTGGGGAAAACAGGAACCACTGTGGCAAGTGTCCAATGCTGAACCAGGGGGATCCTCCTCACCTGGAAGGAAGCTACATGCACCCAGAGGCAGCTGGGTGGGGTGGGGGGGACTTGTTGGAAGCCAGGAACCATACCTCCCTCCCCCCAAACCAGAAAGAGGTACAGGAAGCCCTGGAGAGGGAGGTCCACAGCACTAGGACTCCAAGACCGTCAGCAGTGGTCCCCGCCACAAAAGGGGTCCTCACTGTGGACAGACAGTGTAGTCCTGAACAGCCACAGCTGAAGCACCCCCACATCAACGTCAGACCTGGAAACGTACACCAGGAGAAAGACTACCTCGGCCACAGTTCTGTCCAATACAACTTTCCCCAGTGACAGCCTACATCTGGGTGGGTCAATCTGGTGGCCACTCGCCACATGAGGCTACTGAACACCTGCAAAGTGGTTTGTGACAACTAGTACAAGGCAGTGCGATGGACAGTAAGCTTCAGAATGAGGCCCACAAATGACCACCAGAAGGTTCCTTAGCCCTGGGGTGGCCGAGGTCTCCCACCCTTAGAGGGAGTCATCCTGGGGCGGTGGTACCTTAGCCTCACACCAGATGGGAAAGCAAATACACTGTCAAGTCAGACTCCTAACAAGCTTACAGGACAGAGCAGAACTGTCCCAGGGGGTTCCCAAGGCTGCAAATCTCCAGGGACGCAGACGGCCTCAACCTCCCTCATCCTCTGCAGATCAGCTAGTGGATTTCAACCAACAGCCCACGGGCAGCAGGCACTCCATCACTAGGGCTCTTGGCCTTACACTCATCCCAACCCGACTGCCACTAAGCTGATGCTAACTCAGAGACACTACAGGGCAAAGGAGAACTGCTCCGCAGAGCTCAAACCACTGACTTTGTCATTTATCAGGCCAACACATAACCAACTGCACCACCAGGGTGCCTCTGTAGACTGGAGAGAGCCTCCAATCTCCTCTGCAAAGAGAACTGGCAGCCTCCTGATCTGGGATCAGCCAACATGCCCTCCATGGGCTTCGTTGTGACAGGAGGGAATTCCCGCTCTGGGAAGGGGATGCAGCTGGACACCAGCACCGAGGAGTACAAGAATCGGACCCCAAAGCGGGTCTAGCATCCATACAAAGGCCTCTCACTGTGTGGGGGTCGAAGAAGAAGATAAAAAGGAAGGTTGTTCCCCGCCAGGAGCTCAGCATGGGGCCAGGGCTGGGCTTCAGCCCACAGGAAGAAGCTGCCTCAGTTTATACTTCAGGCAAAGGGGCCCACACCCCAGTCTCCACAGCAAAGGAACCTATAACCAAACCCAGTGCCGGTGAGTTGATTCCGACTCAGTGACCCTGTGAGGACAGAGAGTTCCTCCGGTGGGCTGCCAGGGCTGCCAGCTTTATGGAAGCAGGCTGCCACATCGATTCCTGAGGAGAGAGGCTGGTGGGTTCCAATTGCCGACCTTTTGGGAGAGGAAGTGAATCGCCCCAATAGGCAGTTAGGGGCCCATCCCAGGAGGCAAGGAGCCCTGAAAGAGTCAGGAGATCCAGGGGAACAAGAGCCCTAGCCTGGCAGGTCTTGCGTGACAGAAAGGTCCGATGTCAAGGCGGGTAAGGACTCCGGTGCAGAGATCATGCCAGAAGACGTCACTGACGTGGGAAGACGTACATCTTCCAGAGGCTAGGTGCGCCTCTGGAAGTGCTGGAAGTGGGGGGTGCTTGTCCCTTAGATGACCCACCACAAAGGAGCAGGGAGAGAACAGAAGACGACTGAGTCTTAAAGACACAGAAGAGCCCAGTCCCCACAGACATGGCAGGGCTGACCCTGGGAGCAGACTTCACCCAGAGACGGCCTTTGTCTAAGGGAGGAGGGGAGGTGTGGACAGTACATCAGACCCACAGCCGTCAACAACCCACACGACAAAGGGCCAAAACCAAAACGGAATGGTTCCCCAAACCTCACTGGAGGGGAGATGGAAGCCCATGGCGCAGGGCTCGTTCTCAGGCAGGAGGGGCTGTGGCCCACCCACCTCTCCAGGAAGGCAAGGGGCTGCTGGCGGAGCAGCAGCGTTCGGACTGGGCAGTGGGGTTGGAGGGTAGGCCTCAGCCTCACAGCGAAGGCGGCAGCTTACTGGGGGGAAGGTCCGCTCTCCCACCAAGGCCCCGATACTGTGGGCTGGGGGCTGGCCGCACCAGAGAAGAGGGCAACAGTGGGGTCTGTCCCCCAAAGTCAGGATCCTTCGTCTTACAGAGCTGTGACAGCGGGGAGGGGAGCAGCAGCCCCGGGAGACCCTCACAGAGGTGCAGTCAGTGGACGCGGCCTCACTCCTGGGAAGACCACCACATCAAGAAGGGTTTCTCATTCTGGAGAAAGACCCAGACAAAAATACAGGAACCCCAAGTCTGGGGGGCCACATGTCCCCCTGGCGACGGGGCAGAGGGGCTGCTACGGAGGGGGACCCTGAGATGCAGCATTGTTAGGAAGGAAGGTACTAGAAGCCCAGGCTCCCAGGGCAGCAGCCGCCACCCCGGGAGAGGAGACGGCCCTGAACAGGTCACTGGGGAAACGGGGGGCTTGCACAGCCCACCAGCATGACTGAAACTGGGGTGTGGGAGGGTTCATCCAGACAGGGCTGAGGAGAGCTAGAGAGCTGGCGAACCCCAACTCCAGCCCCACAGTGGGGGTGATGTCCCCAGGGAGCAGCCCCCCACAGCAGCCTGGGGAAGCGGGACCACTCAGACCCAGCAGCTTGGGGGGGGGTGTCTTAGCCTTCAGTGTAGGAGGGGGTGGGAGGTGACAGGGGGGAGCCCCATGGAGACCCCGGGACCCGAGGGAGCACCTCTCCAAAGAGACCAAAGGCTCCCCCTGGAAACCAGGTGGAAGGGGGGCTGCACTACAGCTAGGAGGGGTATGGCAGCAAGGGGAGCCCCCAACAGAGGGGTCCTGTCCTGGGCGCAACTGGCAGAGGTGACCCCCCAACAGACGGCATCGAGGCCCAGGGGGATGGCAGGCGGCGAACTTTGCGGGGCTCACCCCATCTCAGACCAGGACCCCCGTCAAATCCTGGATTTGATCAAGGAGTGGGTGGGCTACGCCATGAGGTGCCGAAGGGGTCCCACTGAGCCCCCGGTGGCGGGTGGGGGGCACACACTCCACGTAAGAAGGGGGACTCCTCAGCAGAGGGGTTCTGTCGAGGCGGCAACACACCCGGAGGACCCTCAGGCCGAGGGTCGGCCAGCTGAGTCGGGGCGCCCCCTGCCCCCCACAAGGGCTCGTGTCGGCCTGAAGGGGGCGGGCCCCTAGTGACCCCGACCCCGAGGCCGCGCGGGGCGGGAAGGGCAGAGCCCGGGGCGGCGCCAAGGAACCCCGGGGACCGCGCCCCGAGGGGACGACTAGGACGGAGCCGGGGGGTCTCCGGCGGGGGCGGGGAGTTATGTCGCGACAAGAGGCGCTGTGAGAGACCAAGGCGGGAAGGCGCGGAGACGACGGGCGATGGCGGCGGGGGGCAGGAGGGGAAGAAGGAGTCCGGCCCAGTCGAGCCCGACGCTCTCACCACAGGAGTTGGCGCCGGCGCTGAGGAGCGTATCGCGACAGGCGGGGGAGGCGAGCGCCTGCCGCCTTTTTCTCGCGTCCCGGGCCTGGGCGCTATCGCGATAGCGGCGCGAAGCGGAAGTGGGGTGGGGGAGTGGACCCGGGGTTGTCTGACGACGGGGTCGGGGCTCAAGGGAGGCCGCGGCGTCTGCCGATGGCTCCGCGGAAGCTGACCGGGCCCGGTTCAAAATGGCGGCGACGGAGGAGGCCTCCCCTCCTCTCTTCTCGTCTCTGGCGCCGGCCCGCCCCCGAGCACCGAGTATAGGCCTATCATTGATCCCGCTGCACGTCGCTCTCGCCCCCTGCGAATTCCCCCTATTGGTTCTCGGTACGGATGCGGCCGGCCCCTTCTAGCTTATTGGACAATCGTCCCCAAGGCGCGGCGTTCGATTGGCCTCCCGCTCAAGCTACACGGATTGGCTTAGGGTTTCTCTCTCGCCCCGCCTCCTCCTCCTGCTTCAGGGCATAACACGCCAGCGCGAGGACTAGCACGTCAATTAAGAGGGCCGTATCTTGCTGATTGGATACATCCGCCCCCCTAGCCTAAGCTAATTGGTCTGGGGGCGGGGCTAGACGGATGCGGGGAGGAAAGTCGGTCCGTCAAGTTTAAAGCCATTTTTAATTGGGTACGAGAGAATCCTCTACCCTCAAATCATTGGCTGGTCTTAGAGGTGGGCGTGGAAAGCACAGGAAGGCATGGAGAGTGGGCGGTAAAGGCCGCGTACCTAATGGGAGACAGACAGGTGCCTTCAAAGCGGGTCGATGTCATCTGCCAATCAAAGCAACCGTTTCGCCAAGTGGGAGGAGATTGGTAGGAAAGCCCTTCCCTTTTCTTTAATTGGCCTGCACTTTTATCATTCATCTCAGTGTAGCCAATAGTGTTGAGAGTGGGCAGTACCTGCTTGTAAAGCGTGTGAAAGACAGGGTATGTAGTAGCCAAATTTGGGGCAGGGTTGCATCCTTCCGCGTCTTTTGTGTCTTGATCCGGTAGGCTGTCCCCTGTGTCCCAGCTCCGTGATTTTTCTCCAACTACTTGTGTTTATCACACCTCTGAAACTTACTGTTTGCTAAATGAAAGAGAGAAGGATACAAGAGCTGGCGTCCCTAAGTCACTGGCTTCACACTACGTTTCTGGGAAGCGCTAGACGTGCACTTATAGTCCCGCCTCCGACTGGTGAGGTCACCGTCGGAACCACAGTTTCCCCAACATTGTGGGGTCTCACTGGGGTAGACAGGCTTTACGGCGCTGCAGAAAGCACAGATTAGATCCAGTTGTTGTCTTCAGATCTGACTTCGTTGTCTAGTCTTGCGGGGAAAACGTCCCTGAGCTCGTGTGGATCCTGTTCATTAGGATTTATTTTTGCACGTCTACCATTATGCATTTGAATTATGGTGTTGGTGAAGAACATTGAATATATCTATCATGGACTATCAGAAGAAAGAACGAATCTGTCTTGGAAAAAGCACAGCCAGAATGCTCCTTAGAAGTGAGAATGCTTTCATGTACTTTGATGTACTTTGTACTTAGGAGGGCCAGCAAAAAAGAGGGAGATCCCACCCCCAAGGAGCTGGATTGATCTTGGCTGTTGTGAGCATGCCGCCGAAACGTGCAATTTTGCCCTGCTGTACATGGCATTGCTAGGAGTCAGAACTGACTGCAGAAACTATTATTGCAGTGTCACTGGTGACACGGTGGGTTAAGCTGATAGCTGCACGATCGATGGTTCAAACCCACCAGCGGGAGAAAGAAGATGCTGTCTTCTTGTTGTTAAGTGCAGTCGAGTTGGTTCTGACGCATAGCGACCCTGTATAGGGTTTCTAAGGAGTGGCTGGTGAACTTGAACCGCCAACCTTGCAGTTCAAACCAACCTTGCAGTCTGACGCATTAACCCACAGTGCCACACCAGGACTCCTCAGTAAAAATTACAGCTTAGCAAATCCTAAGTGGATGGCTATTACTATTATTCAGGGCACCTGATACCACCTAACAACCACCACCATTATTTACATAATTACTCAAAACTTCTATTTTGAACTCACATCCCATCACCCAGCAAGAACAAGTAGGAAGCATTCAGTAGCCATTTGCTAGATGAAAGTGTGAATGAACACAACTTGTAGCTGAGGACTGATGCTTTCAGATTCACCGTGCAGAGAGAGTGGCAGAGAGGCAGTCAATCGATGAAGCGCGATGCTCTCTCCCACCCCATGTCTCTGTGTGGCGGATGGAGGAATGATACACCCAGTGCAGCAACTAACATGTATTGAGCCCTAAATTAGAGTGGATTTCTCAAAGCAAGGTCTGTATCGTCTGTATCAGAATCACCTGTGGCAAGAAGGGAGCGAGGCTGTAAAAATTCACATTCATAGACACACACCAATAAACCCATTCCAGCTCAAGGGGACTCCAAGGGTGCCAGAATGTAACTGCCCCACAAGGTTTCCTTTCTTTTTTAAAAAATATTTTGTATTATAAAGAGTTTTGGTGTGGCACTGTGGGTTAATGCTCTGGACTGCAAAGTTGGTCTGAACTACAAAGTCGGTGGTTCAAGCTCACCGGCTACTCCTTGGAAACTATACAGGGTCACTATGGGTTGGAACCAACTCAATGGCACTTAACAATAACAATTATATATGGTGGTTATGGGTCAGCCTGATAATCTCACAGTCAGTAGTTCGAAACTACCAGCGGTTCTGCGGGAGAAGCATGGTTTCTGCTCCTGTGAAAGAAGGTACAGTGGAGTCGGTTCTGACCCAAAGCGACCCTGTACAGGGTTTCCGAGGCTGTAAATCTTTACAGGAGCAGAAAGCCTTATCTTTCTCCTGCAGAACAGCTGGTAGTTTCGAACTACTGACCTTGCGGTTCACAGCCCGATTCGTAACCATTACACTACCAGAACTCTTGCAAAGAGTTATAGCCTCAGAAATCCTATAGAGAATCGCTCTGAGTCAGACCCGACTCCACGGCACACCACCGCCATGTGTAATTTCAAGGAGCAGCTCTTCTCGTGCTACCTGACGTAGCTGTAACTAATCACAGCTGTGCGTGCGTGATTACAAGGTCCACCCCGCAGCACCTGGACTCCGGCAACGTGGTCGGAGAAGCGGATGCAGAGGCTAAAAAGAAAGCGGAAGATGAGGCAGAGATCTAAGTCAACTGTCTGGAAACTGAGGAGCCATGAGTGGGAGAAATGCCGCCCTGGACTATTATTACTTCTTCTTATGTCTTCACCTCTTAAAAGATTTTTCTTTTTTGTAAATCTTTTCCCTGATTTGTGAAACTGAAAATAAAGCTATGAAAATTTTTTAAAAAACTAAACCAAACACCAGATTTTCAGCCTGGGAGATCCTATGGGGGTGGGGCCGTCGTGCCCTGTGCTGCAGGATGGCTAGGAGTTCAAATCCATTTAATGTTTAAGGAGCCCTGTTGGCTCCATTAAGCACTCACTGGCTAACCCAAAGGTCAGCTGTTTGAACCCACCGGCCGGTAGAAAGATGTGGAGTCTGCTAAGGAGCAATTCTGTTCTGTTCTACAGAGTCTCTTAGAGTCAGAACCAACTCGATGGCAGTGGGGTTTTGGTCTATATCTGTGGAAGGAGCCCCAGTGGTAAAGCACTCGGCGGCTAATTGCAAGGTCAGCAGTTTGAACCCACCAGTTGCTCCTCGGGAAGGATGAGGTGGTCTGCTCCCGTAAAGATTTATAGTCTCAGAAGCCCTACTGTTGCTGTTAGGGGTCACTGGGTCGGTACCAACTCACAGCAATCTTGGCACAACAGAAGAAAACACTGCCCAGTCCTGCACCGACCCCAGTTGTTGCTATCCGTCATGCCATCTCATTGAGGGTCTTCCTCTTCTCCCCTGCCCTCCACTAAACAAGCATGATGCCCTTCTTCAGGGGCTCGACCCTCCTGATCATAGGTCCAGGGTACTCAGACCCAGTTTCACGTCTTTGCTTCGAAGATCTTCTTCTTCTTGTAAGGACCATGGAGTCAGTTCCGACTCATAGTGCCAGGGTTTCCGAGGCTGTAAATCTTTACGGGAGCAGAAAGCCTCATCTTTCTCCCATGGAACAGCTGGTAGTTTTGAACTGCTGACCTTGAGGTTAACAGCCCGATTCATAACCACTATGCTACCAGAGCTCCTTATTGACTGGTAAGAGCTTTTATATATTAAACATATGAATGTTTTAACCTTG